CCGTGTATCGCCTCTGACTGACCGCGTGTCTTTCGGAGGACAGTTGCTGGAGAGATGATTGGAGCAAAACGAAAGGATGGTATAATGCATCTTGGTTTCCAAAAGGCACCCGCCTTGAATTATAATTTCAAAGCCCGCATTATGTCTGTATCTCTAGCTGTCTGTCTGAAATTAGCTGTTCATTCTGATCTTCTCCTTCCCTTCTTTCGGGCCATGCTGTCGTCTCTGGGGTTGAGGTTCCAGAGTTGCAGCATGAAACACAATCCTGGTGCGATGCTCCGACATGGAATGGCTGGGAGACTGCATCTTGGCAGAATGGGATCGGAAACTTTCTTATCTTTTGCGCAAGAATCGCAATGACCTTTATTCTCCATTTTACTTTACGATACATGCTGGTGTTTTGGAAGGCGCAGTCCATTTGAAACATCGATGCCGGGATAAGAAGCCATCAAAAGCTACTGGTTGCTGTGACGCTGTTTCCTTTTGTTTTTGAATGCTCACACTGGGTGACTCGCTTTACTGACTAGTTACTGGCCTTGATCCGTGAACTGCCCCGTGTATCGCCTCTGGCTGGCCGCGTGTCTTTCCGGAGGACAGTTGCTGGAGAGATGATTGGAAAAAAACGAAAGGATGGGATTGCGCATCTTGGTGTCGACATGGTACACGCTTTGAATTGTCAGTTCAAAGCGAACATCCTTGCATGTTCCAATGTCGCCGCCATGCCATGAATTAATTGTTGCATATGTTTACACGTACGTTTCTTTCCTGCAGAAGAGCCGGATTTAAGCGTCATCTCTTACATCTTTCAGCTTGCAAACTGATCGGCATCCTTAGCTTGGAGCATGCTGGCTTTGTTTTCTTGTGCTTGTATTTTGCGGCGCAAAAGGATTCTACTTGGACGTATTGGAACAGTTGGAAGAGCGGAAGCTCTAAATATGAAACTCGGCAAAGATCTTAGCGCTGGCTGGTGCTGAGTGGCACCTTCAAGTTCACATAGACCCTATGGTCTGCCTAAGCCCCTAAGGAAAATAAGGGGAAACGAGGGTGAGGCCAAAGTTCTGCCAAGGAAACGCCAATTTTCCCATCAGTCACTCCTGACGTTCGGACTAGTCAGATGTTTTGAGCGGGATCTAGGACAGAATTATTTGCCATCATATTTTAGATGGCCCGACCATCGTTGAACTTTTAATTCATATATTGCCTTTGAAAGACAGAAACCTCGACAAATCTAAACAGGGAGATGAAGTATCACTTTTGCACCTCCACTGAATTTTGGATTTATGAGAGGGTTTGGAAAGCACCGCGTTGCAAGTACCTACGTCAGTGGACGCAGGAGCCACCAAAGAAAAGACAAAAAGCTGACGTTTGGAGGCTCAGTTTCGGTGGCCAGTTGCGCTAAATCGCAAAAGTAACTTATATGAATATACATTTCTTGAAAATTTTACAGATGCATCTGCACTAGGTAGAGACATTCTTTCCTCAATGGGGAAGCTGGTGTGCCAGCTGTTACTAGCTGCGGAGGGTTTCAATTTGTACCTTTTACGTTTTTTCACTTGGTATATAAGTCTCCCACCCATGCGCGCTTGCAATGCGTGTGCCTTATCGTCTTGTGGCTACAAGACAAGAGCATTTCCTTCCAGCATGCGGTTCCGCGCAGCGCCTTCAAGCTGACTTGCACGTTGTGCTTCTCAGGCAACAATCTAAAGCTTGTCATAAGCCCAGCTTTTATGCTATAGTGCGTGGAAGTGTGTAAATTGGCCCAGGGCCCTGGTAGCGGAGCTTGGTGTCGCGGAGCTTGGTTGAGCACAGCTTGGTGTTGGTGTAGCGGAGCTTGGCTTGAGAAGCATGCTGCTCTGCCGATATCGTTACGTTTTTAACACTTGGTATACAGATTTCCCTCCCATGCGCGCTTGCAATGCCGGCGCCTTATCGTGACTCTTGTGGCGATAAGACAAGAGCGCTTCCTTCCAGCATGCGGTTCCGCGCAGCGCCTTCAAGCTGACTTGCACGTTGTGCTTCTCATGGCTGGCAACAATCTAAAGCTTGTCATAAGCCCAGCTTTTATGCTATAGTGCGTGGAAGTGTGTAAATTGGCCGGGCCCTGGTAGCGGAGCTTGGTGTCGCGGAGCTTGGTTGAGCACAGCTTGGTGTTGGTGTAGTGGAGCTTGGCTTGAAAAGCATGCTGCTCTGCCGATATCGTTATGTTCTTAACGCTTGGTATACAGATTTCCCTCCCATGCGCGCTTGCAATACCGGCGCCTTATCGTGACTCTTGCGGCGATAAGACAAGAGCGCTTCCTTCCAGCATGCGGTTCCGCGCAGCGCCTTCAAGCTGACTTGCATCTTGTGCTTCTCGGGCAAACAGCTCTTCATAAGCCGATTTTCGCCAGCTTTTTTGCTATAGTGCATGGAACTGTGTAAATCGGACCAGGGCCCTGGTAGCGGAGCTTGGTGTCGCGGAGCTTGGTTGAGCACAGCTTGGTGCAACGGAGCTTGGCTTGGAAAGCAGGCTGTTCATATAGGCCGATTTGCACGAGCTTGTGCCATAGTGTGTGGTGGCGGACAGAGCTTGGTGTAACAGAGCTCGAGTTGGCTTGGAAAGCACGGTGCTGCGCCTTCAAGCTGACTTGCATCATCTTTAGCTTCTCAAGTAAGCATGTCAAGGCTTTGACAGGCTCTGACAGACAATCTGTTACGCAAGCCACTTTGCCGCTGTGCATGGAAGTGTGTCGGCTTGGCCCCTTGACCTGGAAGCGGAGCCCGATGCACAGCTTCGCTTTGTGTGCGGTGGTAGCGCGTCAGTTCTTACGCGCGCACGCTGATGAAGAGTGATGCTGAGGAATTTCATTACCCAGTGCTCCCCCACACGGATGTTCATTGCAAACTGTTGCAAGCAGCGGTTGGGCTTGCCAGGGTCGTTGTATGCGTGTCTGATGGCGCACCTTGACTTGTGATGTTAGGTGTGACAACCCAAACTAGCACAGATTAGGAATTGAAAGTGAGACAATGTGGCTAGCCCAGCACGGTACTGATTCATGCGGGTGGTTCGGCATCTGGCTTGCAGGCAGTAAGCACGCTGCTGCGTTCAATGAGAGTTGCAGCAGGCAGGTGGTCCGGTTGATGTTCCATGCAGAGTCTTCGCATCGAAAGCCTAAGACCTAGAAAGGCAGTGGTGGTAGTAGTGCAAGCTTTGGTTTGGTCAGAGCCTAGTCAAGCTCACAAAGCATTAGCATTTTGATGCTCGCACGCATTGGTATACATATACCTGCAAAGCCATTTCGCATCAGAGCTTGAAACTTTCAAACTTTCACAATTGTCCTGAGCTACAGTGATGGCCTCCTTTGACCCGATCGCCATCGAATCCACTTGCTCTGGGCATGGACGTTGCCATGGAGCGGCCCTCCTGCTCCTTCTTGGAATGCGTAATCCGTCCGTACGTGTCTCAGCTGCAAGATGTGACTTGTATGATCAAGATGGTTCTCAGTGACCATATGTCATGAGGCTGCTCCATGCAGTTGTCAGTTTTGATGCACATGGTGTGGTAGTGCTATTTTCAGTTCTTTCCGTCTAGCCGCAGTCTATCCCAGAGTACGAATTCAAACTGCCATAATCTAACCATTGATGACCTTCTTGCCGCCAGGATCCCTTGCACCTTTCGCCCTGCGCGATGATCTTGATGAGATACCGGTCAGTTGGTGTTTCTCGACTGCAGCTCAGTCAGTCTTTGATCCTGATTGGCTGGTATTTCTTCTACGCTGTCCACCCTGTCAGCCGAAGGCAATTACTTCGTGGTCCCAATTTTGGACAGGCTCTGCCGCAATGCGGACAAAGAGTCCTGTTGGTGTTTCTTGGCACCGTTGAAGCTTGTCCTTATTGCAAGAAACTAGGTTTGGTTGGGAGTGCGGGCCTTATAGCGGACGCACTAACGTTCATGCACTCCGCGCCCAAGGTGACTACTTCATGGCGTGTATCGAGAAGCGCTTGACGCACCAGTGTGGTTGTGCTTGCTCTATGACTCTTCGATGTGCCTTGACTGCAGTGGGTGCATCAATCAGCACTGACTTGTGCTCGCAATGAAAGCCTTGAAGGATTGTCCCTGAGTAAAACAGTGCCGCGTCTAGTTCACAGGTGCCATCCCTGTTGCTATACTGCATGCCCGTGCGAGGGAAGCCTTTTTGGATTGGCAAGCGGCTGGAGGCTGCGTGGCCATACAACCAGGGCGCATCATCAGGATTGTGGCAAGACATCCGTTGGAGCGGCTCGGCCTTTTTGCTACTGTGTTTGCCCAGTTTCGCCGCCCTGCTAATATCAACATCCTTCGTAGAGCACAGGCGACCGCCTTGTCTGGAGAATTGCATCTCGAAACTTGTCCACTCTCAAGATGGCGACAGCTGAGCTGGAGAGCAATTGGACGCGGCTGGCGCGACCAAAATATTACAAAAGGTTCCGCGGTAAAGGGTCTTTGACTCAGTTGCTGTATTGCTTGCAAAAAGTTCAATCAAGCACCCACACATTACCGGCACAGACTTCGCAAAGTCGGTTCAGGACTAACGCTTCAAACGGAGAAACTGCGACAGCGGAGGCTGATCACCATGAAGCGAATCTTGGCTTGAGATCCAGAGGTGTTTGCAGGCCACTAAATTGGGCGAATGCTGGTTATGCACATATGGCACTAAGCAACAGATTAAAGTGTCGCAGCTTTTTCCAAACCTCGTGGTCAGGACACAATGTTGTGCAGGTGGTGATCTTGCAGACCATGCGCCTCTCTGCAGCAAAGAGGAGCTGCAGTGATTGCAATCTCTTACGTCTGTGTGGATTTGTCTCAGGCGCTTGCTTGCGAAGCTGGAGTGGCTAGGTTGCCTTATATCCAGTTGCGAGCTTTGAAAAATCCCTGTTGTGTTGCGCACCGCATGGCTCAGGTCAGAGAAGGGAAAGGCGCTTGCTAGCTACAAAGAGCCCCTTGGAGCCAAACCCTTCTATAATGAGATTTAGGAAAATGAATGGGGACGAAGATTGCTAAAGCCAAGATTCTGCACACGGGGCGCCGTGGCTAAGGCCGTGTCTCTCAAGGCGCCAAAGACGCCGACGCTTCGAAGATCTGTACTGGTGCAACGTGCACCTTCATGCCGTCATCCGAACTGAGCGTTTGCGCCGGCAGCAAGACCAGAGCAAGGAAACCGTCTTTGCAGAGTATGCGACGATCGTTAAGAGGGATATGGATGACGAGTCGCGTACCTCCAGCCCCTGAGCTTACAAAGGTATATTTTTTGGAGTTATGGATCGAGCACTGCCAAAGTTGGCTGCAAATCAATGATTTGTCAGTGACCGCCCGTGTCCTCCCAATCAATGCAGTCGCATTCTCCCTGTTGAGGTATCGATGGCCAAGAACGAAAGAAAGGCCGATTTCCTTGTTCCTGTCTCTGAGAATCTCTACTGTGTTATAAAACGTATGCAGATGGGCGCGCTGTTGGCGTTGTGGCTGCTGGAAAAACCCCTGCAGGTTGCAAGCGTGGGACTGTTGTCAACGCTGAGCGCCCGACTCTTGTACTACTCAGACCTAAGATCGATTAATCTCAGTGTGCTTGTTGATTGATAAAGCGCTACCCCACTTGACTTGTAGGCTAAGTCAGTTTGCATCGTGACGTTGAACTCAGGAACAGCGCCAAACAAGTCTTCAATCAAGTCTGCTTGGTGGACTCCCTACGAGCACATGGCGTCAAGGTGCCCTACACTGCGGATGGCCCTTTCTGGGCTCTCGCGGATGGCAATCGGATGCTACAGCCGTTTGGGTATCTTGGCAGCAAGCGGTGAAACAGGTTCGTAGGTTTCTATCTTTGACTTTTCCTGGATGCATGATGGAAAAAGTGATGTTACCTAGAAAATTTGGCAAACACATGCACAGGAAAAAGCTTCGAAGAGTGCAAGATCACGAAGTCATGCTGCCTGGCAAGTACGTCCTCTACTCCAAGAGCCATTTTGTTGCTTTGGAAATTTGGGAGGATTGGACGTACATCATCCGCCCTACCTGCCGCACGCACATCGGCAACGTCCAGATGTGGCACTCGGAAGCTGTGACCAGCTACGAAGCCATTTTTGTGCTAACTGGCAGCAGCGTGGAGGGTAGGGGCGGCAGATGGCATGAAGGCATGGACGCGAAAGGAGGAAGCGTCAGCATTGCACATGCTTGCACAGGGGAGGAGGTGATGAGTCTGGATGTCGCAGAGGAATCCACGACGATTTTGTGGATCAAGCAGCAGGCCGGGATTCATTTCCGACATCCCCCATTTGGCTTGGAGTTGTTGGTGGATGGTTGCTGCCTGCCAAACCATGTGACATGGTTTTCTGTCGGCGGTCCTGCTACAATGCTTCTTGTCCTCAAGCCAAAAACGAACGAATGGACAGAGGACATCTTCGCTGCAGTTGAGATGCGGGACGTCGGCGCTGTGATGTGGTACCTTACACAAGGGCAAGACCCCAACTGCACATTGCAAGATTCTATTCTGTGTAGTGCTATCGAGACGGGCAGCCTAGCACTGGTGCAAACGCTGTTGGAAGGTCAAGCCTGCCCCAATTTTGCTCCTCCTCACCGCAACAGCCCTTTGCAAACAGCGGTTTCTCATAACCAAGACCATGTTCTGTCAGCCCTGCTAGATTGCGGGGCAGATCCCAATTTAGTCAATGCTAATGGCGACTCGCCTTTACACCTGGCTGTGATGTACGCGGACATTCCAATGTCTTGTTCTTTATTGTGGGCCGGCGCCGATCCCCTGCTGCGCAACTCTGATAGCCAGAGTGCCTTTTTCTACGCAGAGCGAGGGCTACTTGTCCTGATGTGCATTTGCCATTGTGATGATCGTGTGATGCCAGTCGACTTGATTGCACGGCATTTGCCCAGCATCGTGCAATACTGTTGCTGCAGGAGCTTGTGGCCGGTCTCCAAATTTTTCGGGCAGCAGCAAAAATATTGGGACGCGCTAGGCGGAGGAAGTGAGGTGGTGTGGGACCTGCGGCAGAGATTGCGGGGTGACACTCTTGGTGGCGGTGAAAGGGTGTTTGAGCCTGTGTTAGTTGTCATGGCGTGTACAGGCAATGAGATTTGCACGCTGCCCGTCTCAGAGGAGTGTACGGTCATGTCCTTAAAGCAACGTATAGCACTTCATCTGAAACATCTCCCTTTCGCTGTCAAAATCCTCTTGGAAGGCCAGCTGGTTGCTGCAGTTGGAGATACTTGGGCAACACTTGGGTCACCTCGGGTATTACATATAGTTCTTGCATCCAGGACCATTGCGCACGCAAATTGTTTAGTCAAAGCCATCCACGACCAGGAACATGACGCGGTGATCCGAATTCTTGCAGATGGTCAAGAACCAGATTACCCTTGTGTTCGGCGATGGCGCGCAGAGCTGCCGCTCCACACCGCAGCATCCCGCGGTTTCTTCTACTCGGTGCATTTGCTTCTGACCGGCTTTGCCGATCCCAACATTGCCGGCAATGACGGCCGCACAGCCATGCACTTGGCAGCCTTAGCCAATTCTCCAATGACAGTGCTTGTCTTGGCAGAGCATGGGGCCAACGTGCACGCGCCAGATGTGCAGGGCGCAACTGCTCTCCACTTTGCAGCTGTGCAAGATAGCGTGCCTCTTGTCAAGCAGCTTCTGCAAGCAGGCGCGGATCCTTTGATTGCTGACTCATTCCATGATCCGCCACTTTCCTGGTGGTGCGGGACTGATGTCAAAGCCATGCTTATGAACAGCTGTTGGCCGAGATTGTCCTTTCCCGAACTTCTGCGCTTGAATGTGCGGATCTTACAGCGATACATGGATTGTGGCCAGCTGCCACGGGTTTGCAGGACCTTGCGGGATTGCCAGGGTGGGAGCGCTACAGGCAAGCGCAAGATGTGCAACAATGAACAGGGAGAATCCTCCAACGCGGAAAAAGGCAGAGCAGGACACAATCGGAAAGTAGCACTTCATTTGAAGATGTCACGGTTGGAAGGCAAATTCCAGGCTCCAACGACTTCAGGCGTCCCTGAAGGGTTCAAGTGCTTGCAAGATTTTGGGTTGCAAGCTCTCCTTCCAATCATGCTGCAAGGTGGTTATCTCCAAAGGAGTATTATGCCGGTAAAGCCAACCACTTGGCCTTCCAAGTCGCCTGAAGTTGTGGATCACTTGAAGCTGCTGCATCCACATCCCCGCGACAAGCTCTTGTCTTTCGAAGCAAGTAGCCACACATATTTCTGGGATGGCCGCAAGGTCAGCATCTCTACAACAGGTCTCATTCACAGGTTTTCTCATGGCTTCGATCCAACGCGAGCCTTGGCGCAAATGCAAGCAGGAAGCCAGTGGCCAAGGCCGAAATACTTGAGATCAAGCATTCCAACGTCTTCCTTGTTGAGGTTGGAGAGGCTGGGCTATACCAATGAATTGTTGTCAATGCTATCTTCATCACCTCGCTCAGATGAGGCAATTTGCAACTTTGTCCGGCAATGTGTTGCGCAGCACCCGGAAGACAGAGAAGTGCTTCTCAGTCTTGCAAAAAGCGATTCGGAGATTCGGCAGCAATGGGCAAATGCTGGAGCAGAAGGCGCCTCCCAGGGAACTTGGATGCATACTACCTTCGAATGTCTTTTGAACGGGGGCTTTGTGACCAGCTGTGACCAAGAGCTAACGCTTTGCTTATCTTTCTTGCGTGCTGTCTCAAACCTGGGCGCGACCATTTTTCGCACAGAGTGGATGATCTACGCAGAAGCAGAGGATCTAGCTGGGTCAATAGACTTAGTGTTGAAGCTGCTCGGCAGCAGCAAGCTTATTCTTGTGGATTGGAAACGAACGCAAGATATTCGGTCAAAAGGCATCAGTTACGGCAAGAATATGTTGGGCTGCCTCAAGGAGATTCCAGATTGTACCCTCTGGCATTACAGGCTGCAGCTCAATGTCTACAGGCACATTCTGGAAAAATATTACGGGGAAGAAGTTTCTATGATGTTCATCGTGGGCTGCCATCCAGACAACGGCCAGTCTCCCTTTGTTGAATCCGTCCCAATGATGTCAGAAGAGGTGATGGCTTTGATGCAGACACTGGAATGGCATGATCGGACAGCCTTGCATCAGGATTGCCAGGGAGGAGGATGTTCCCAAGATTTCGCTGCTGCATGGCTCGGACATCTTTTTCTTTGCTGGCCACTGGACTCGGACGAGGATGGAGTGCGGTTGCTGCGTGACTTTCAGAAAGCAGTGGGACCTGTGTGGCCTGCCTTGTCCGCCCATCCTCACTTGTTCTGGATATTGCCAAACCCTCTTTCCAAGAGACTTGACCATGCGTCATTCTTGCTTCGCGTAACTGCTTCCAGCTTTTTCATGCAGCTCTTGCAAGAAAAGCAATTCAAGTTTCTTGAGCTCGCGCTCTATGTCTTCTTCTGGCCAGAAATAAAATCTCGTTTCTTCATTGTTGATATGATCTTTGTGTCGGGCTGCTTTGAGCAAGTAGAGGACTGTGCCAGGCACATGGCTGAAACAATTCACTTCTTGCATGGCTGTTGGCTTGTTTCTTGTTCAGCCGATGCTTGGCGACAACAAGTCACACAACGCTGGCGTTCATTAGAAGTACTTCAATCCTTGAGCAAAGCATTGGTTTTTCAGAGCGATGTGCGCCGCGTGCTTTTCCCACCGGCTAAGACTTGCTCTTGCAGTGCTGGGTTGATCCTGCAGCAGAATTTCTCTTTCGACATGGACGCTCTGTGGGCCAGCGGGTACTCAAACGAGGTGAAAGCTGTTTTTGTCGAATGTTCAACTGTCTTGGCTTCCCACAATCAATTGTGCAATCTGCTGCTCGCTTCATCGTATTATTGTTTGGGTCACAATGCTTGGCGATTGAGGCTCTATTCAGCTAAATTTTTCTTGCTTTTACTGCAAGACCAAGAATTTGACTTTTTAGAGTTGGCTCTGTACATTTTCCATTGGCCTGAGATCGACCAACAGCCATACTTAGCTGACTGCCTCTTTGCAGCCACGACTTCTGAACTGCGGTGCCGTCGATGCAGGCACCTGGCCAATGTCATTCACATTCTTCATTGCGCATCATGTCTGGACACGTCGTCATGGGAAGAGCCAGAGCTGTCGCGCCGCGAACAAAGCTTCAGCCTTGTGAAGTCTTTGTTCCAATCAGAAACGTTGCGGGCCAGCCTGCTTCGCCCGCCAGACAAATCATGTTTGCAAAAGGTTGACGCCAACGAGGGCTTGGATGTTTGCGGCGGAGCATCGCAAGAGGGGATGTCGTTTGACGATCGGGTTGCAGCAGAGCAGAGCGAGATGGACCCAGAAGCTGCAGAATTTCTGAGGAGGATGGACGCAGAAGTTGCAGCAGAGATGAGGGAGATGGAGGCAGAACGTGAAGCTCGAAGAGCGGAAGGTTCCACAATCGAGCCGCCTGCTACCTACCAGGAGGAGGCAGCACCGCCCCCTATTGAAGCAACCCCTGCAAAAGAAGAGCATGCAGACGATGAGGAAGACCCAGTGCTTGGGGAGGAGACCTCAGAGTCTACCTGGAACATCTTGAAGAAGCGCCGCCTCCTTCCAGGAGCTCTTACTTCTCATGAGGACTTCGCAAACTTGTTCCAATCCTTGGCGGATGCGAATGAGGATTTCCAGATCCAACCTGGCGAACCGATCGACAATCCTGACACTATCTTGTATGTGGTTCAGAAACGCCAACAAGACATTGAGAGACAATACCCACGATTTTCCAAACATATTGTTCGTATGGCGACAGCGGCCCAAGCGATCTTCTGCATGAGGGTTGCTGACATGTCGCTGCGTGAGCATGCCTTGATGCTTTGGATCATTGAGGGATTAGATTTTCTCAGGTTTCACGATGGAGATTGCTATATGTTGCACCCTTGCGGTGCCTTTCAAAGGTATAAGGGCGTTCCACCTGATACCAGCAGAATCAGTGACTTCTTGCTGCAGCTCGAAGGATTGTTCCGGCGCTTGCCTGAAGATGTACCTCGTGACCCACAGCAACTTCTACAAGCAATCGACCATGAGTGGCGGGGCGCTGGTGAAAATGATGAGTCGCTTAGCCGGAAGTGCATCAAGGCTGCAGTGAGCAATGTCGGTGAAAGCCTCTTGAAGCAGCGTGGTGGGGAGGATGCTCCCGATCTTGATGCTGACGTCCACAACTGGCGTTTCCACGCAGCACGCACGGTGTTGCAACTGAAGGTGCGTCTCGCCCGGGAATTGACAGAAGAGAAGTTGTTGCACTACATGGTGGAATGGTGTGAAACTTCTAAACAGGCAGCGCCAGCGTGTTGCTTCGAAGATTGCTGCATACAGTATTGCGAAAATGGCGTGGCCCGTCAGGCCCGATCGGAGGCGAAAATTCAACACAACTAAAAAGGTAGGCATGTCCTGCGTTCTGAAAAGGGTTCCAACCGTTAGGAAAAGGGTGGAAGGGCTTGTTGACGTTGAAGCCAGCACTTGCCAGGTACCTCGGTCTGATATTAAAGACGTCTACGTTCGAATTCCACATTGTCTGAAAGGGTCTGTGCCCCTGGATGTGCTGGAAAGGGTTCGCAAATTCTACCGGCAGACCTTCTGGTGCAACATTGCGGCCTTCAAATGTTGCCAAGCTGCCCAAGCCCTTGCCAAGAGAGGACACAATGTCGTCCGTATTTTCATCGGGCTCTCTGCAGGAGGTGTGGGGCAATCTCTTTATTCAGCTCATCTTCAGGCAGGAGGGAACTTGTCTTCAAAAGGGTGACGGGTTGAATTTGAGAATGATTCCTGTAGCTCCCCAGAGCCGCGGCTCATGCATTCAGTGTGAGCGACCGCAGGCAATGTACGGAGCCAACTTTGCGTATTTCGATCCCAACATCTGGTGGAATGAGGACGAAATGCGCAAGCAGGTTGAGCAGCTCAACGGGTGCTTTGTCCTCACAGGCAAGGTGCGTGTCTGTTGCAGAGGTGGATTGAAAAGAGCAATGTCTCTGTGTGTCTGTGTGTGTGCGTGTATGTGTGTATGTGCCTGGTATGAGATGAGAATGATGCAACGCAATGTTCCTGTTCCAAAATCTGTATGATTGGGCTGTGCCTGCCTGCAGGACAAGAGGCGCCTGGAACCAACAAGCGGCTCCGCGAAGACCTCTACAAGAAGTTCATGAGCGCGGAAGGCATTTCGGGTCGCAAGCCATACGGCTTGCGCACCCGAATGATCGAATGTAGAGGCTGGAAAAGGCTTGAAGCTAACCGAATGTTTGACTTCCAACAGGTTAGCAAGAAAGACTTCAACGCTATTTTTCGGAGATCGTTAGTCTTTCGCATTCTGGCCCGCTTTGAAGATCCTCGAGCTGTGGAAGGACTGTGCTCTGAACCTTATGATGTATTTTCAATATCCTGTAGTGTACTTGGCTGTTGTTTGTGGCTTGCTCTAACACCGTTTAGGCACTGAAGACATTCGCCTCCACTCTTTCCCAGGAGCTTATGCGGACATGTGGCGGGACGGCGTCTTCCCAAAAGATCCAGACCTCAAGCAGTTTCTCATATCAGGTCCTGCTATTCTAGCCGCGTTGCAGATCCAAAACGCGTTTGAAAGGCAGAATAGCAAAGAAGACTGCGAGCATCTCATTGAAGATTACGCCTATTGGGGCGGAGACAGGGGATTGACGGAGCAAACCATGCGTGAAGCATGTGGAATGCCCCCGCGCGATGTCCGAAATGTCATCACCCAGGCAGCTGCCGTAATTGTGGTCGATAATGAGGAGCCTCAGGAAGCGGAGGAGGGGGATGTGGTCTGGCGCAAGATATCTGAATCTTTGATGCAACATCTCCTCGTCATGAAGAGGCTTGACCTGACAGCTAGGATGTTGGCGACATTGAAATTAAAAGATGCCCCGAACATGAACAAGGAGGAGCTCATCAAAGACATGCAGACCAACAAGCGGTTGATACAGTCGCACTCGAAGGGCAAGAGTGACACAGTCTTTGCCCTTGGTCTCAAAGCTGAGGTGAGCCTCGAAAGTGTCATTGACCACACGAACAGACAGGGCTGTCCTGACTTGCCTGAGACACTTGCAGCATCAGCCTTGCAACAATATTTTGAAAGACAAGGTCGAGCTGACAATGCTCAGCTTCTTGCCTCAGTATACAAGAAGATGGCTGCAAAACTGGGCGGAAATGGGCGGCCCAGAGCAGATGTGAAAGCAAGGAAAGAGAAGTATGCGGAACATTCACAAAAAATGTTCAATCATGAGGACAACTGCTTGTCACTTCTAAAGCAACTCACTGGTCCGCATATGGTTTCGTCACAGGACACCCCTGCAAGGAAGAGGCTTCGAACCAAAGGTCCGGAGGTGAAGCAGGAGGAGCGCGCGGTGAAGGATGAAATGCCTGAAGGATCAGGAGTCAAATTCGACACCATTGAATGCTCATATGAGTATCCATCCACCACACTACTGCGCACACGGAAGACTGTGCAAGGGCTTGGCTCGCAGAAGTTTACCCGGAGAGCCCAGCTGCATTTGCTGTCGCACACCCATGACCTGGACATTCAAAACTCAGTCTTCACTGTGCTCACTCAGCTCCTCGACAAACTGAAGCCTGCACCAGCCTTGCCTCGGGATCTACGCGCAACTTTGGACCGGTGCGTTTCTAGCAGGGATGAAATCTGTCGGAATGACTTGAAGATGAGCCGGGAGGAAGGAAAACAAGTGTTGACAGCAGTCTTGTATGGTGGTGCTATTCCTCAGCATTTGGCAAGTAATGACTTTCTGATTCGTCTCAGTAAAGTCTCGCTCTATGCTCGATGGCTCGCCATGTCTTTGCTTCAGGATGAGTTCAACAGATTCCGTTCCCCAGAAGTGGGTAAGAAGAATCCTGATAGGTCCATTCTCGCACATCTCTATTTGGCGGCTGAAGATTACATATTGACGACCTGGGTGGAGTATCTACAAAGCTTGAAGCCTACCCATCTTTCGTTGCACCTTGACGGTGTGCGCATCTCTTTGACTGAGGAAACTTCCATAGCAGAGCTGTGTGACGCTTGCCAGGAGCACATCCAGAGGAAGATAGGCTTCCAGGTCAAAATCCGAGAGAAGCAGCAACGCACGGTTCTACAAAATATCAAACAGGTTTCGGAGCAAGAGCCTAGCATGGCAACCGGAGATGAGCTTTTGGATCAGGATGGAAACTGCATCCCAGCAGCGATTGCAAGCATGCTGGGGAAGCGGCCGCAAACCCAAGAAGCTTTAGCGCGTGATGCTGAAACATGTGTTCTGCGCTCATACAAGCAATGCGAGACATTGTGCAATGTGAAGCTTGTTCCTTACTTACAATTCCAAGACGTCACAGCTGGCAAGTTTCTGCTACATGCGGAAGGCAATGGAAAGCCACACTGTGTAGGCCTTTGCATCGGGCCAGATGATGCATGCCTGGTATACGATGGTGATGGCATCTACAAACTTTCTCGGGCGGCTGTTGCTCAGGCAGTAGCGTCAGGTGTGGATGCATCTGCGTGTGTCTACTTTCGGGTGTTGGAGGCCTCGGAGGATCCTAAGGAGTTTGCATGGGGAGATTTGGACGATGAAGATGCTTCTGCTTTGCTGACCTTGGAAGCTGGAAGCCGGAAAAAACCTGCCGCTGTGCAAGAAAAACAAGGAAGTGTCAAGAGGCCTGCAGTCAAGTCCAAACCAAAGCTGCTCAACGCTGGCAAGCCCGTTCTACACAAACCTTCAAGCAAACTAAGCATTGGCTCGCAAGCACATGCTCAGTTGCCGGATCTTGGCACAGAATCGCGTGAAGCCCCTGTTTCCATCCACGGATCAGGGTCAGAGCCTGAATTCATTGACGTTGCTGGAAGCGAAAGTGATTCTGAAGCTGTCTCATCTGCTGAATGGCTGCTTCAAGACGACGGTGTTGTTATTGTTGACGCAAGGTTGTTGGAAAGCCTGGCTCGAGAAGTGGCAGTTGTTGCTACTGGCGGTCATTACAAGAAGGCTGAGCAAGGCTTTGCTTGCCCTTGCTGCCCCTGGCGCTGTTTTCAAAGCCCTGGTCGTGTCACGGATCATCTCAACAAATATCACTCGGAGCGCAACCAATATTGTTGCTCTGGCACAAAGCAAATCAAGTGCGTACTATCTTTGCACGACTCTGACATGATCAAAGGCCAACAAGAAGGAACCTATTTGCAACGCAGCGCGAAACTGCTGAGAGAACAGGTGGTGCCCCCTCTTCCACACTCCATCAATTGCATCGACAAGAAGATACGGCTACTACTTGACGCACAAGGCATGGCAGTCGAGAAGCTTGCATGTGCATTAAATGCATGATTGTTAAAGAATCAAAGCCTAAAAAGCAACATATTAAACCTATGTTACGATTCATGCTTTCAAAGCAATGAGATTTTGCGTTTCATCGCGCCATCATGCTTTCAAACCTGCCATGCAACTGTGGACAAATCAAATCTTTACCGCGCAAGGACCGCGCTTTATTCGGCAAGATGTCCTTGGCCACAGCATCTGCGTCCGCCGAGTTGGAAACTTGTTTTACACGCATGACTTTGCAGAAGTGCTCTTCCAGGAGATGATCCTGCACAACGCAAAGGCCGCCTTGGTTTCTTCACACTAGGAATCTAAATGCAATTCCCAGGTGTTAAACATGCCAATTCTTGCCCAGAAAATATTCAGCAACCCTGTGCAGGCCAAAAGTATCTGGCCGCGGCTGATGCTGAACGCCGTGCGTGCTGGCTCAGAGCTTGTAAACCTACTGCCGTCGAACACGGCGCGATGGTGGCCCCTGGTTGAAGATGTGTTCTCTTCTCCAAATTGCCTTGCTCTCAGGGATGACCTCCTTCAGTCCTGTTTGCATCACAATGAGTTTCGATCTCTTTCTGTTGATGGCACCTTCCGCGTTTGTTTGCCTATTTTGGGGCAGAGGCCTTTCAACTTAAGCAAGTCTGAGCGTGCAGAGGCAGCCATACCAGAAGAAGAAAGTTTCAGGAGAGTCATCACAGTGCGCGGCAAGACAGGAGCCGTTGTCACCATGTTTCCATCTTACGGCGAAGGAGCAATTGATATCCGGAAAGGCTTAATAGAGAGCCTCCCAGGGGATGCTCTGAAGCAGGTCGAGTTTCTTGCCACGGATGCGCCCAGCAAGCGCTTGTATGAAGTGTTGAAGGAAGCGCTGCCAAACCTGCATGCGCTTGCCCTTGATCCCGTACATTTGGCTATGCATTATGAATCCGCGTCGTCCAGGCACAAGACAGTTGGCTCAGCCGCTTTGAGGCGTGGCCTCGCTAAATTCAGCTGTTGCCCAGGCAGTAGCATGAAAGACAACTTGGGTGACTTTTCCACTGGTGAGCTGATGGTGCGTTTATCTACGCGCGAAATGACTTTGAGGAGCCAAATCCTGGATGGAAGCATGGGAAAGTTCAAGGCCCAGAGGCTCTTGACCAATTCTGATCCTTCTTCCTCCTGGGTCTGTCGGGCAGATTTTATCGAATTCTTGGCTGCTCTCAGTGCTGTCTACCGGTCTGAGACAGCGAAGAAAACCGATTACGGCAAAACACTTGCGCACCTCTTGCACCAGGCAACTGACGGAGAGCGTCTTGAATGGCTTTTCAATAACATTCGGATCAGGGCAAGATTTTCTGTTGCCGAAAAAATCCTTTTGCCCGTGGGAACAACCAGCAATGAAAGCTTGCATGCTGAAATCAATGGGTGGTTCCGGCAGACGCAAAGCATTCACCAAAGTACCCTGAAATTGAAGCTGGGTATTTTGACTCTATCCAAACTCTTATCGCACAACGCAGCTCTTTATTCACCAGCAGCAACACAGATGATGAGCAGCCAGGTGTTGGCTAGGAGGATTGGCAACGGCTTGTGGTCGAAGGATGAGTGGAATGCATGGGCACATCGAAGCTCTGAGAAGGCGCAATTACCTGTAGAGAAGACAAGGCAAGGTGAAGCAAGCCGCTTAAAGCGGTTTTTAGCTAAAAAGCCTGCTGTTCTATGTAAACGACCAGCTGCCAAGGGGCATAAGACCCCATTCAATCTCACAAGATCGAAAGGCATCCGAAGGGCTGGCGTGCATAGTCGCCCAACAGCGTCACAGGCAAAAGCTAAATGAGACGCAGAAGCTTGTGAGATATAGGCAAAAACTTTGGGCGCAAAAGTGTCGCACTTTGGGCCTTGCTACAACGCTGCAGGACAAGCAGCATGTTTGATCTTCGGTTCCGGTTCCTTGAGAAGCTGCCCAAATGTCGCAGGTTCCTGCCAAGAGAATGTCAAAGCTGGATATAGAGGCACGGATAGAGGTGAGCTCGGGGGGAAGCACTTGAGGAAAGCACTTGTTGATATAAAGGAAAACACAGATGGTTTGTACGGCGTAGAAAGATCTCGAAAAAACGGGAATGGAAAAAGGTACTGAGAAGCACTGGACTGCCAAGGGAAAGAGATGTGAGATGCAAGCTGTCAATGGAAAGGAATGTCAATGGAAAAGCAAAATAATTCCCGAAGGAAAGCTTGTCCAAAATTGAACAAACAAAGAGCTGCCAGCCATGTTCCCGCACAAGGAAACTTTTTTTCGTTTCCAAGCTACAGGTAGATTTGGCGTCCCAGTTTGCTTTTTCCTCGCGTCTCTCTTCGTTGCGGGTGCCTGCACTTAATTTATTTTCTGCCACGATCCTCACGCTCACGAAACACTCGTCGGCATTGGCACGGGTGCCACACGTACGCGTGACTTGCGACGAATGTCCGAGGGTGCTTATATTTGGAAACTTCCGCTCCCGCGTGGCGCAGCTCTACTTGTAATCGTAAAAGCTGTTTTCGAATGCTGGCTAATTAATTAATACTTGTTAATCATGGTCGTTAAATTGATGATGATGGTAAACATTGCAATGGAATATTCTCGGGCAACGCAGAGAAGCACTCATGACTAATGACATACCATGGGATGATGGCTTTTGATCGTACTGTTTTACTAAAATGGGACATGGAATCTCCAAGGGTTATGTATAGGGTTGCGACTAGTGTATGAAAGCAAGATGTGTATAGTGGGTATGGAGCCACTTAAGCATTTGGATAATGATGTGAAAGTAAACCCAATGAGAACGGATAATACAGAATGATAGAAACTTATGTCTGTCTTAAACCATTTGTTGGAGAGATTGACGAACATTCAGCAATTTCAGTGGCCAGTCTGGCAGATCAGCTACAACACGGAATTGGTAGCATTGTCGCCAATTTGATTTTTCACATTCCCATGGGTCGCACCCCAAGGCCAGATCTGAAGACAAAGCAAAGGCTTGGAGACCCGAACTGCTGTGGGATGTCGAGTTTTGCAAGAGCAGACCCTTCAGCAAAGTTTGATTGCAGCACAGTCAAAATTCGGATTTTTTCAACTGCCGGTGCTAGCCCAATAATTTTCATGACGCAATATCCAGCCACGTGCCGAGAAACGTGTGGTCATCCGTGGAGTACCGGAAGAAGATCGTGATTATTTGAAGGTGATGGTGACCGAAGCATACGGCCACCCGGCGTTTTAGCAACAGGGTTGCGAAGGGACCGGGCGTCATCACTATCCGGAGCCATAGAAATACAATATGCACGCTAGACGGTTCTGTGTCAATCTGTTTCCAACGTTTGGCACGCTGCAATCAAGGTGCAAAACAAGTTTTTTTCTTCGTGTTAGTTCAATCAGGTGATCTCCCTGCAGGCCGTCAGAGAACACTGCCATATTTTATTTCGTAGGTGCCAATTTCTCCTGCTTACAATTAGGAGGGACACAAGAGAAAGGTAGATACTAGTTATATGTTGTTGCGCGTGTATGCGTGTATTTGCCATGCATCTCACATGCCGATGAACAATGATGTGGCGTGGGTTGTGTCCTGACCTGCGTCTTGCATTCCAGCCCAGGAAATGTTTCTCGATGGTTTGTGGAGCAGGAAGATCCGTACCTAGTTCGGGTGACTTTCGCAGAGGCTTCAGCCGCATCCGCTTGCGTCACGAATTTTTTCGGCCCCGGCGATTGCGAATTTGAATAGCATAGCAGGTTTCCTTTCATGTGAACATCTGTTGATGGATTTCTTGCGAAGTTTAAGGCTTTAAAGTATTGCCTCCATACAACATAATTCCTTCATTTCCCATGAAATTCCATTTTGACTTGCAATCGTTTTAAATCAGCATTCAATGCAATGAGAAAGGTGCCTGGTTGCCTCGAAACAAGGGGTCTTTGGATTCCTTACTACCTTGCGAGGGCAAGGGCAACTCTTTGTGTGCTCACTGACATCTTGAAGTTTCAGTGTTGCACGCACCTACGGCGGCATCCGCTTGCGTCACGATTCTTTTTCGGCCCCGGCGATTGCGAATTTGAGTAGCATAGCAGGTTTCCTTTCATGTAACCAACTGTTGATGGATTTCTTGCGAAGTTTAAGGCTTTAAAGTATTGCCTCCATACAACATAATTCCTTCATTTCCCATGAAATTCCATTTTGACTTGCCATCGTTTTAATTCAGCATTCAATGCAATGAGAAAGGTGCCTGGTTGCCTCGAAACAAGGGGTCTTTGGATTCCTTACTACCTTGCGAGGGCAAGGGCAACTCTTTGTGTGCTCACTGACATCTTGAAGTTTCAGTGTTGCACGCACCTACGGCTTGTGCTTTGCCAAAAAGAGGCTATGATTTGCTGTCTGCGACACTCACGCTAGCCAGTTTTGTTTATGAAATTGTTTTCTGGCGTTAGTAATAAGATTGTAGTACCTATGCTGACGAGATTTGAACCTATGTTAAAAGCAATCATGTTATTTGTAAAAGATTTAGCAGTGTACTAGAATTGATGGCAATAACAGAAGATCAAGATAGGACATGTTGACCAGATGACACTGTTTGTTACAAGTACAACAGCTTGCTACAAGTGCGAAAACAGGAGAATCACATTATACCAATTATTCCCTGCCACGGGGGGGGGGAGGTTTAGTATTAGGAGGAAGGGATTAGAGTCTGGGTATGTCGCCAAGTGCCACGCCTGCCACGCAAAACCAAAGTAGATGTCGCCAAGTGCCACGCCTGCCACGCAAAGTGCCGCGGCGTCACAGGCGACTAATCCGGTCCAAGCGCGCCACCAGAGCCGGCCCAGTGCCGTAAGTGGCACGCCTGCCACGCAAAACCAAAGTATATTGTCACCAAGTGCCACGCCTGCCACGCAAAACCAAAGTAGATGTCGCCAAGTGCCACGCCTGCCACGCAAAATGCCGCGGCGTCACCGGAGACTAATCCGGTACAAGCGCGCCAGCAGAGCCAGCCCAATGCCACAAGTGCCAAGCCTGCCACGCAAAACGAAGGTAGATGTCGCCAAGTGCCACGCCTGCCACGCAAAAGTGCCGCGGCGTCACCGGCGACTAATCCGGTCCAAGCGCGCCACCAGAGCCGGCCCAGTGCCGTAAGTGGGACGCCTGCCACGCAGAACGCAGGTGGATGTGACCAAGTGCCATGCCTGCCACGCAAAACGAAGGTATATGTCGCCAAGTGCCACACCTGCCACGCAAAACCAAAGTAGATGTCGCCAAGTGCCGCGCCTGCCACGCAAAGTGCCGCGACGTCACCGGCGACTAATCCGGTCCAAGTGCGCCACCAGAGCTGGCCCAGTGCCGTAAGTGGCACGCCTGCCACGCAAAACCAAAGTATATTGTCACCAAGTGCCACGCCTGCCACGCAAAACCAAAGTAGATGTCGCCAAGTGCCACGCCTGCCACGCAAAATGCCGCGGCGTCACCGGCGACTAATCCGGTCCAAGCGCGCCAGCAGAGCCAGCCCAATGCCACAAGTGCCACGCCTGCCACGCAAAACGAAGGTAGATGTCGCCAAGTGCCACGCCTGCCACGCCAAACCAAAGTAGATGACGCCAAGTGCCACGCCTGCCACGCAAAGTGCCGCGGCGTCACCGGCGACGCCTGCCACGCAAAACCAAAGTACATGGGTGTGAAATAGTTTAGTTTTAGTTTTTTTTTTTGAACAGGTTTGGGATTTTTTTTTTGATTTCTTGGCTGGTACCATTTGCCTAAGTGTTTGCAACGGTTTGGAACTTGAATTTGTCATTTTGCATGGTATTTGCCACATTTGGGCATGTTCACCTTCCATTTTGGATGGGATTTACTACATGTGGGCATGTTCACCTTCCATTTTGTATGGTATTTGCCACATTTTGGCAAGTTCACCTTCCATTTTGCATGGGATTTCCTACATGTGGGCATGTTCACCTTCCATTTTGTATGGTATTTGCCACATTTTGGCAAGTTCACCTTCCATTTTGCATGGGATGTTCTACATGTGAGCATGTTCACCCAAATATTTACAGATGCGGAAGCTTGGGATTAGATAAAAAGCGGGTGGGGGGGATTGAGGGAGGGCGCTAGCTATCTATCCAGCTAGCTAGCTATCTAGCTATCTAGCTAGCTATCTAACTAGCAAGCTAGCTATCTATCTAGCTAGCTATCTAACTAGCAAGCTAGCTATCTATCTAGCAAGCTATCTATCTATCTAGCTATCTATCTACCTATCTAGCTAGCTATCTTGCTAGCTAGCTATCTATCTACCTACCTAGCTATCTAGCTAACTATCTATCTAGCTATCTAGCTATCTAGCTTTCTATCTATCTAGCTATCTATCTATCTATCTATCTAGCCATCCAGCTGTCTATCCAGCTATCTAGCTATCGAGCTATCTAGCTAACTATCTATTTAGCTATCTAGCTATCTAGCTTTCTACCTATCTAGCTATCGAGCTATCTATCTAGCTATCTATCTATCTAGCTAACTATTTACCTATCTATCTAGCTATCTATCTAGCTACCTCTTTATCTATCTAGCTAGCTATCTATCTACCTAGCTATCTATCTAGCCATCTATCCATCTAGCTATCTATCTAGCCATCTATCTATCGAGGTATCTAGCTATCTATCTCTCTAGCTATCTATCTATCTAGCTGGCTATCTATCTATCTAGCTATCTATCTACCAAGCTATCTATCTATCCAGCTATCTATCTATCCAGCTATCTATCTATCTATCTATCTATCTATCTATCTATCACATGTAATCCTGTCAGCTTTCCAGAGAAGGTTAGTTCGCAAAAACCAACTAATGTAACTTGGGTTTAAGTTTAAATAACAAAAACGGGAGGGGGGGATTGGGGGGAGGGCGCAGCACCTCCCCCCAAAGCAGAATGCAAGCACCTCTTCTCACATGTTACGTTGCTAGTTTTCAAGAGAAGGTTGGTCATGTGATACTCAGGGATGCAAATACTGTGCAAAATGCATCTTACATGAAAATCAAGTATTTAAAGCAGGCAAAGCAAAAAAAAAGCAGAGAAGCAAAAAAGCAGAGAAGCAAAGAAACAGGAAACGCACAAAAGCAAAACAGCAGAAAGGCAAAGAAGCAGGAAAAGCAGAAAAGCAGAGAAGCAGGAAAAGCAGGAAAAGCAGAGAAGCAAAGAAACAGGAAAAACAGAAAAGCAAAAAAGCAGAGAAGCAGGAGAAGCAGAAAAGCAAAAAAGCAGAAAAGGCGAGAAGCAGGAGAAGCAGAAAAGCAAAAAAACAAAAAAGCAGAGAAGCAGGAAAAGCAGGAAAAGCAGGAAAAGCAGGAAAGCAGAGAAGCAGGAAAAGCAGGAATCCAAAAATAATTCCTAAACCTGATCAAAAAAAATATCCTAAAATAATTAGCCCTCCAAAGTATATTGTCACCAAGTGCCGCGCCTGCCACGCAAAACCAAAGTAGATGTCTCCAAGTGCCACGCCTGCCACGCCAAACAAAAGTAGATGTCGCCAAGTGCCACGCCTGCCACGCAAAGTGCGGCGGCGTCACCGGCAACTAATCCGATCCAAGCGCGCCACCAGAGCCAGCCCAGTGCTGTAAGTGGGACACCTGCCCCGCAAAACGAAGGTGGATGTCGCCAAGTGCCACGCCTGCCACGCAAAGTGCCGCTAAACGCAGGTAGATGATGTGTGACAAAGCTGCGTGTGAAAGAAGATGTTGGAGATGATGTGTGACAAAGTTGTGTGTGAAAGAAGATGTTGGAGATGATGTGTGACAAAGTTGTGTGTGAAAAAGGATGTGTGACAAAGTTGTGTGTGAAAGATGATGTGTGAGATGATGTGTGACAAGTTGTGTGTGAAAGATGATGTGTGACAAAGTTGTGTGTGAAAGATGATGTGTGACAAAGTTGTGTGCGAAAGAAGATGTGTGAGATGATGTGTGACAGATGATGTGTGACAGCGGAGACAAAGTTGTGTATGACAAAGTTGTGTGTGAAAGATGATGTGTGACAAAGTTGTGCGTGAAAGAAGATGTGTGAGATGATTTGTGACAGATGATGTGTGACAGCGGAGACAAAGTTGTGTATGACAAAGTTGTGTGTGAAAGATGATGTGTGACAAAGTTGTGTGTTTGAAAGAAGATGTGTGAGATGATGTGTGACAAAGTTGTGTGTGAAAGATGATGTGTGTTTGTTGACAAAGTGACGGAGGCGGGAGGAGGAGGCGGGGAGGTGGGGAAGAACCCGGGATACAGAATCAAAAACAAGAACCCCAAACAAAGATGTGGGGAATAATTTTAGTAAAAATGACTACTAGAAACAATAGCAATAATAAAAAATAATGATAATAATGCAAACAAAAATGAACTTGTAAAAAATGAAAACAATAACAATAAAACCGGTAATAGTAATAAATAAATTTAATGATAATGATAATGATAATGGTAATGACAATGGTAATGATAATGATAACGACAATATTAGAAAATCCTAGTAATACTAATAGCAATAGCAATGGCAACCACATAAAGTAATAGAGTAATAGGGCAATAGAGCCATGGAGTCATAGAGTAATGGAG